GATAGAGACTGCATATGTTAATACGGGAAACCAGTGGGCAGACTTGTTTACAAAAGGTTTGAGTCGGGGGAGAGTGGACTACATATGTAACAAGCTGGGATTATATGATATATACTCACCAGCTTGAGGGGGAGTGTTAGTGAAGGGGTATTTCGGTCTTTGTACCTGTTAAGAATGCTGATGTGTATTATTATGTAAGTTCGAGTGCCTCTTACTTAAATAAGGGCACTTATGTCTTTTTCAATTATATTAATAATATAATAACAGGTCTGGCCGAAACTAGGGTTGACTTTTCCCTAATTCGAACCAGACCTTTTCTTTTCTTCTTCCTCTTTCTTCCTTCTTCTTTCCTCTCTTCCTTCTTGTTGTTTACTTTACTTTTCAGTTAACAAACAAAGCAGACTTCTAGGGCAGGCCGAACTTCAACAAGGCGGAACCAGGGAGTAACGATATTACTCCTTTATGTTGATGATATACTCATTACAGGGGATGACATAGAAGGAATTGATAGGCTACAACAGTTACTCAATGAGTCCTTTTAAGATGAAGGACTTGGGGCCTTTGACATACTTCTTAGGACTTCAAGTGAGCAGAAACTCTCGGGGCTACTTTGTTAATCAGCAAAAGTATGCGGCTGATCTTGTTAAACTAGCAAATCTTACTGATTCTAAGGTTGTGGACACCCCACTAGAACTGATCCTGAAACTTAGCAAAGATGATGGTTCTCCTCTTGAAGATCCTATCCTTTATCGTCAACTAGTGGGCAGTTTGATCTATCTCACCATGAATCATCCAGATATACCTTATGCAATTTAGATAGTAAGCCAGTTTGTGTCTTCCCCAAGACAACCTCATTTATCTGCAATTCACGGATCATTTGATATGTGTGAGTCACACTATCACATGGGATATTCTTCTCCTCCTCATCTCCTATTAATCTCATGGCCTATGGAGATGCTGATTGGGTTGGATGCCCCGACACCCGACGATCCACTACTGGCTGGTGTTTTCTTAGGCAATTCTCTTATCTTTTGGAAGTGCAAGAAGCAAGCTACCGTGTCCAAATCTTCCACTGAAGCTTAATACAGGGCTATGTCTTCCGTGTGTAGTGAGACCATATGGATTCGGGCTCTTCTATTTGACATACTTAATGAGTCAACATCATTTGTCCCTCTGTATGTAGACAATATCAGTGCAATTAAAATTGCTTCCAACCCCGTCTTCCACGAGCGCACCAAACACATAGAAGTTGATTGCCATTTCATCCGCGATCTTCTTCTTTGGGGTACCATATCTCTTCCTCATGTCTCCTCCGAGCTCCAACTAGCAGACTTGTTGACTAAAGCAATGACTCGAGCTCGGCATCTATTTCTCATGGACAAACTTATGCTTATTCCTAGGCATCAATTTGAGGAAGAGTGTAGAGAACTGGGAAATTAGCCGCAGGGCTATTTTTGTACTTTTTCTTTTCCCTTGTTGTATAACTATTCTTTATTCTCTTTCTTTTGTACATTAAGGGCAGATTGTCCTTTTACCTTTTAATATAAATATAACTTTTAGGGTGTTGACTGACACAAGGTGTCACCCACCATTCGCCTGTGTTCTCTCTCTCTTTCTCCTTCTCTAATTTTCGATCTAACTTTGACATGTAGAAGGTGGGCCATGTATATCATAACAAAAGTTAACAGTGTGTCCCTCCATTCCACAATAAGTACACTTCCTAGGACTGCTACCTCATCCCCTACCATGACCTCCCCCTGAATTCCAACCTCCACTACCTCCACCTCTATTCCCACAACCTCTAAACCTCTCACTCTTTCAACAACAAAGGTTGACCTATCAGAAGTAGTGGTGGTTTTTTGTGGGTCCAAGAGAAATCCTAAAAAGTTGAGCAAACACCTACTCAAGAGTGAGAAGAGCAAAACCGCCTAGTATTTATGCTCTAACTGACTTTATACTCTAGCTTCAAACTCACCAAGAATTTGGTCACATCAAGTTGTTCCCTCTATTGTTGAATTTTAACATTTGAGGTTAAGGGGTGATAGACATTGAGTTCATTCCTGAGATTTCTCATACTAACATAGTAATCTTCAAGACTCTGGTTTCCCTATTGCAAATTGAAATAATCTTGGTAGAGTTGGTATACCTTTGTAGTGTTGTCTTACCCAAAGTAGAGCTTCTTAGCATGATCCCATATCTCCTTGGTTATCTCTAAGAACATAAAGTTTACACTTATTTTGGGTTCCATGTTATTCCATAACCATGTCATAATTTGAGCATCTTCTTCCTCCCAATTTTCTAAACCCTAGAGATTCAAACGATGGTTTCTCATCCTTCACATGTTTCACCTTCTTCTTGGTTCTAAGGAAAACCTCCACCAATTTGACCCATGGCACATAACTCTCACCATTGAGTTTAATTGATGTCATCTGCACACTTAGATAATCAAGGGGGACCATCACACTAGATTTCTGATCACTACTAGTCTCTCATGGTGCTGCCATCATGTTGTCTACTCAAGAAACTATCAACACCATTACAAATTGCATCTATGAACACAGAACCAACTATAACAAAAAAAAAAAAAAAACCGTTGTTACCTGAACATTACGACAGTCTACTCACCACTTAGCAGCACCTTCCCATCCAAATAGCAAGGAAAACACAGCGACAGCACCTTAGACACATTCAGCAACCTTCATCATAGAAATTCAGTCCCAACCTTTACCAACATCAATACAGTCAATCAATCAAAGAAAACCCTCTTGAAACTGCTCAGTAGAGGGTTCAAACCACTACATGACCACTAGGGCTGTCACTCATAGTGACAGCAATCCACAGAATACCAGAGTAGGACTGCCACAGCCTTCTATAGCTTCTTATCTCAGATCACAACCCAGAAAAAGAAAGGAAAGAAAGAGGAGTGATTGCAATCTCCAAGAATTGGAATTTTAGCCTTGCCTTTCCTTTATTTATTACTTCGATACCATGTTTTAATGGTTCAGATGATTGCAGTCTTGGGTTAGAAAGAAAAGAGAAAAAGAGGAGAAAAAAGAAAGAGAAGGAGAAGAGGAGAAAAGAGAAACAATTGTCTAAACTAGAGAGAATGATCTCTCACCCCATCCAACCTTAACTATATAGATTGGCCAAAGAATACAAAGACTATTATGCCCCTACTTAAGTATGGGACATGTAACTTAAAATAAAACAAAATTTAATAAATAAGAGAATAAAGACTAAAATAACCCTACTTAGTTCGACTCTAACGATATATATATATATGTATAGCAGGTCGGGTCAGGCTATAAATGATCACCTCTAGTATGTCATCTTTATATCCTTGGATGCTTCACATTTAGCTGCTTTAAAGTAGGGGTGATCATCTACTGCCCAGCACAGGCCTGCATCATGGTCACAAATTTGTGGTCCAGACTTAGGCTCGACCCAGGACCAAAATATGGATATATATTATATATGTTATCTAACAAAATCTTATATAATATATAAAATATGTTTAAGGTGGGCCCAGCCAGGCCCATGGTAACCCCTATTCAAAGCTAAAATATCCACAAGAAATTTAAGGCCTTTATTTGAATTGAAGTAAATCTGGCACATAAAAATGGATGCCACCCTCTCCAAGTTAGTTTTCTGTTGTATCAGAATGCATTATAGTGTGATGTTTGCCTCCACTGCGAGGTTGATAAGAATTGTATGGTATCATTATACTCAATATGCAAATTTTGCATATCAAGAGTCCGTTTAAGTAGAAACTCTTTCTTTATTTGATAATTTAACAGTGGACATGTCTCATTATACTTATTAATATCTAAAACAATTGAAATCATGTAACTCTCATTTCTCAAAGTATTGGTTGCACTAAAAAGCAATACATATGAATTGATACACACCAATGCATTGCAATATTTTGAACCTTGGGTATCAATGTCTATGTCCAAAGTGAATGCACCTTTATCAATAAAATCTAGGCACAGAGTCACTGCCATATAAAGAAATATGATAAAGCAATACTTATCTCACTTCCTTTGCTCCCCTAAGAACCTATAAATACCATATTTTTCTCATATGTATTTTCTTATTGGCAACAAAAAAACACCCTGCCATGTTTTATGGAGACTAATATGGCAGTGACCTCAGTAAAGGAATGGATCTTAGAATTTGCATCCTTACAGTTTTTGCAAACTTGCTTCTCTTCTCCCCAATGGAAATGCTTGATGGAGAGAGAGAGAGAGAGAGAGAGAGAGAGAGAGATTGGGGGAGGGGGAATTTGCACAAACCTGCAGCCAGGGAGATGGGATACCATAGTACATGTAATCTTGCGGAATATCTTGGTTCCTAGAAAGCCTCTCCAAGATCCTTACACACTTCGGGAGACAACCCCAATATGCATCATAGTTCTTAGATACTAAAGCAACAAGGAGGCTCATAACAGCTGTCAAAACACCCAAATCACGTTCATCTAGTAGCTGTGTCATGCGATCTGACCTGAAAAATAATGTGGAAAAAACAAGGATTAACCCAAGAAAAATACCTAGAACTGGATCTAGAAGGGATGGATTAAAGTAGAAAGTACAATTTGTATTACCAGCCATCTACATTGACAACATCAGGATTTTTCCTGTATAGGCGTAGTAGACACAAAGCAGCTTTCTTTCTCACAAGTGGCCTACAGCTACTGGAAATCTGATGCAGAAAATGCAATTCTTATACTATGTCTGTTTAAAATTAAATGAGACAGAGAGTTACTATTCTTCTCTTACAAGTAATTTTTGAACATCAGGAGCTAATGATTCAGCAAACTCTCTTCCACCAATATTGCCAACCTGTAAACAGCAAGATCAGAGAGGCTTCGTAAGCATGCTCAAGAAGAACCAACAGAAGTTAGAAAGAATTACCAGGGTAGTCTGTAACATGTTAAAATTGAACATCGAAAAGTAACTAACATCAGCATTTTTCTCGATTGGTAACAATAAAAACATTTTATACTTTTTAAAGGATTAATACAGAGATTATGTATCTTTCATTCAGTTGTAAAACAGAACAGCAACAAATCTTGTTTAATCAAGAAAACTAAGAAAAAATTAAGAGAAGAGAGAAGATAATGATATAGGGTTTTAGGAAAAAGGAGTCATAGCAGTCTTCCAGCCCCAAAACCTTGTTTTATTCGAACTAATCATAATTAAATATAAAGTTAAAAAATTTCCCCTAATAGGGCAGCTGATACAATAAACAAATAAATGGGCCTTAGGCCCACTACGACTAAGGCCTATTGATTAAAAAAGAAATAACATAACACCACACCAAGTATTCCCTATGGCCCATCAGTTCAACACTCCCCCTTGAGTATGGATGTCAATCATGCTCAACTTGCTTATATAATGTGGCAACCATGACTTGGGAACACCCTTGGTGAGAAAATATGCTAGCTGCTCCTCAGATGCAATAAATGACAGAAAAACTTCCCTAGATACAACTCTCTCCCTTACAAAGTATCTATCTATCTCAATATATTCCTTCTTATCAAGTTGAATAGGACTGTGGACTATATTGGTGGCAGCTTGATTGTCACAATACAACATCATCAACTTGTCATGAACACAATGCCCAACTCACCTAATAGTGATCTCAACCATAATAACTCTAACACTCAATGAGCCATTGCTCTATACTCTAACCTCAACTAAGAATTGTGCCACAACCATCTATTTCTTACTTCTCCAAGAAACTAAATTGCTAGCAGCTAAAGTACAATATCCAGATGTAGATCTTTTATCACGAACACAACATGTCCAATCTGCATATGTACATGTTTCCATCCTCCTATGCCCATTGTAGAGAACACTAATGTGAACCTGCTGACATATGAACAGTGGGGACCACCATAGTGTTCTCTACACTAATGTATATAAATTTAAGAGGGGGCGGCTGTTTAAACACATCAACCCAACTCTCTTTTATCAAAATCTCTCTCTCTCTCTCTCTCTCTTTTCTCCCTCTTCTTTTCTTTTTTTTTTCTCTTCTCCTTTTAAGTGTATGTTCAATCAGCTCACATACTAGGTCCTTCTTAGCTTCCTTCTTCATGTCTCTTTCCTTATCACTACCAGATTTGGGCTTAACTGCTGCCAGAGCTGATTCAAAAGGCTGTTAACACTGATAGTACAACATCATCTAGCACAAGAAGCAATCCTCTAGATACTCTAGCTGTTGTCCGAGGTGCTCTAGTTCAGCTGGAAAATGAAGTTGGTAATTCAGCTCCACCTCCTCAGACATCATCAGCACCCCCTACCTCAGCTTTTGCTCATTCAGGTAATTGGGCCTCAGCTCACCATGCCTCAGTTACAGCTAATACAGAACATTCATGGATAATAGATTCAGGAGCATCTGACCATATGACTGGCTTGCCATCACTATTTACTACCTATCACTTATCTTTAGGCAGAGACAAAGTGTCCATTGTTGATGGCTCCCTCGTTCCTATTTCTGGCAAGGGAGACATCAAGTTGTCTAATGCTATTTCCTTATCTTCGGTTTTGCATGTTCCTAAGCTTAGTACTAACTTGCTTTCAGTTAGTTGCTTTCAGTACTAACTTCCTTATCTTCGATTTTGCATGCCTCAGTTACAGGTAATACAAAACATTCATGGATAATAGATTCGGGAGAATCAGACCATACGACTGGCTTGCCATCACTATTTACTACCTATCACTTATCTTTAGGCAGAGACAAAGTGTCCATTGCTGATGGCTCCCTCGTTCCAATTTCTGGCAAGGGAGACATCAAGTTGTCTAATGCTATTTCCTTATCTTCGGTTTTGCATGTTCCTAATCTTAGTACTAACTTGCTTTCAGTTAGTAGCATTACAAAAAACCAGAAATGCTCAGTAACCTTTTTTCCGGATCGATGTGTTTTTCAGGATCTAGAGATAAGGAAGGTCATTGGGACTGGCCGTGAGGCAAATGGAGTCTATCTGCTTGGAGGGAGTCCTCATTGGGAAGATAGTGAGACTAAGAGGTCTTGTGTTTCTCAGTCTATTGATCAGGCTATGCATTGGCATAATAGGATGGGTCATTTATCTTTTCGGGCTTTAAAGAGTTTGTTTCCTAGTTTATTTGAATCTATCCAGATGTCTAGTTTGAAATGTGAGAGTTGTGAACTTGTAAAACACTGCAGGACAACCTATTCATTAAGTAATAATAGAAGTAATATTCCCTTTGAAATTGTGCATACTGATGTTTGGGGACCTTACCATACCACTGCCATGGGGGGGTACAGATATTTCTTACTATTTGTTGATGATTATACTCGTTTTTCATGGATTTATCTCATGCGTTCTCGAGATGAGGTTCCAGCATTAACCCGAATCTTTCATCAGATGATTTTAACCCAATTTAGGGTCAAAATCAAAATTTTTAGATCTGATAATGCGAAAGAATATTTTGCAAACCCATTAGCCTCCTATTTGCTTGAACATGGGATTATCCATCGGAGTACCTGTCCTCATACACCACAGCAAAATGGGGTTGCTGAGAGAAAGAATAGACACATATTGGAGGTAGCCAGAAGCATCAAGTTTACCTCCAATGTGCCTATACGTTTCTGGGGGGATGTTGTTCTTACAGCAGTGTATCTCATCAATAGGATTCCTTCACGGGTTCTTGACATGAAATCTCCATTTACCCTCTTATATCCTGATAAAGAGTTATTTACCATTCCCCTTAAAACCTTTGGTTGTACATGCTTTGTTCAGATTCTTGGCCCTCATCGTTCCAAGTTTGACCCTAAGGCCTCAAAATGTATTTTCCTTGGTTATGCACAAACTCAAAAGGGATATTGCTGCTATGAACCTACTTATAGGAAAAGATTTGTCTCAATGGATGTCACTTTCTTTGAAGATGTACCCTATTATCCAAGGGTTTCTCCTTAGGGGGAGAGTAGTAAGGATGGGGTTAACTCGTCAGAAGTTCCTTTACCTATCCCATTAAGTGAAGAGGGGTGTAATTGGGAGGGCTGTCAGAGATGCAGGGATGTGAGAGTCCATCACAGACGATGGAGACAGGTTGATTTCGGACATCAACTGTGCAGGTCAGTCCCAGTCTCCTCTGCAGATCCAGATTCTAGTACCACAGTAGCCCCAGTTCCTTCTATAGAGCCAGATCCAGGTACCACAGATACTACAGATGAAAGACATACCACCATGGAGCCTTCACCTTCATTAGATGATCTTGATCTTCCCATAGCAGTTCGTAAGGGCAAGCGTCATTGCACCACATCTACAGCTCACAGAATTTCTCAGTTCATGTCCTACGATCATTTGTCTCCCTCCTATAATTCTTTTCTCGCATCCATTACCGATGTTCCCATTCCCAGAACAATACAGGAAGCATTGGAAGTACCAGAATGGAAAGATGCAATAAAAGCAAAAATGGATGCCCTCGTCAGAAACAATACTTGGGAGATAGTTGATCAGCCTAAAGGTAAGAAACCGGTTGGATGTAGATTGGTATTCACTGTGAAACATAATGTTGATGGTTCTATTGAAAGGTATAAGACCCGGTTAGTTGCAAAAGGATTTACTCAGGCATATGGTATTGACTACTTGGAAACTTTTGCACCAGTAGCAAAGATGACCACTATCAGAGTCTTATTATCTCTTGCAGCCAGTTACTCTTGGCCGTTGTATCAGATGGATGTTAAAAATGCCTTCCTCAACGGAGACTTGCAAGAAGAGGTTTACATGTAGTTGCCTCCTGGATTTTATGGTACAGAGACAGGAAAGAAGGTTTGTCGGTTGAATAAAGCCTTGTATGGACTAAAACAGTCCCCCAAAGCTTGGTTTGATAGATTTAGACAAGCCCTTGAAAGGTTCGGATATGTACAGGCCCAGTCAGACCACACCTTGTTTATTAAGAGAGTGGATTCTTCCTTAACCTTGCTTGCTGTATATGTGGATGATATTGTAGTAACAGGAAATGATAATACTGAGATTGAGTCCCTTAAGCAACTCCATCAAGAGTTTGAGGTAAAAGATCTGGGAGAACTACAATAATTCTTGGGCATTGAGGTAGCCAGATCCAAGCATGGGATTTTTGCTTCTCAAAGAAAGTATGTTCTTGACCTCTTGGAAGAAACAGGAAAGTTGGGTGTTAAGCCTGCTGGCACACCCATTGAACAAAATCACAAGATCAGTGCAAAGGGTGGAGAACCCCTTGAAGATAAAGCTATGTTCCAATGGTTAGTTGGAAAACTTCTCTATTCTAGTTGTGACCAAGTCTTTGCCTCTAGTGCAACTACCTGTGGAATGACCACCTATTCGGAAAGTGTATACGCATCGTCAGGTACCGGCTCCTCCTCCCGCTTCGTCACTGTCGACA